CCATTTATCATGAAGACCTGGGTGGGGAGGTCTGTGCCTGGGGCTGAGTCCCGGAGGTGCTCCTCACCCTGCAGATGAGATGCAGGAAGAGGAATCTGGGACTACTGCCAAGCCCACTGCGGAGACACTTGAGCCTTGGCACACTTTGGATTAGGAATAGCAGGAGACCCTCTTAAGGGAGATAGAGTGTTCCCGATTCAAGAGGGTCATGAGCCTGGGTCTTGCCCATGCTGGACAGCTGGCAGTGCAGCCCTATCTGCAGTCCTGGGAGGGCAAGGAGAGGGATTGTAAAGAGTTCTTTGGCAGATGCCTCCAGTCCCATGGTTGTAACAAGGAAGGCAGAGGCACAGCTTGTACCTCTAAGCAAAGCTGTGCTTTGCGGTGCTTACAGGGGTGCTGAGATGACCATCTGGCCAATCCGGACTACTAGTTGCTGCCAGAGGGCAAAAGACTGAGGACCCCAAGAACTGCCAGCAGAGGTGCTCCTAGAAGATCACATTACTTAATACTTAAGAGCAGGAGTTTTTGTTACTAGGATTGTTGAGTGACTTGTTGATGAGGGTAGCTGCTGGCTACTGTCAGCAGGAGCCGCTGACCTAGAGAGCGGGTGTAGACACTGGGAGTCATGAGTGACCCATGGCCAGTGGCAGCCACCAACCCCCAGTGCAAGCAACAGACAGAGAGCCAGGTGGGGAAGTCACTCCGAGTGTCCTCGCTGCACTGAATTCCTCAGGAGGGGCAACATGGTCCCTTTTCCAACATCTCAGTTTGGAGAGAGGAGAATCATTTTCCATTAAGTAACATGATTGGAGACCTAGTAGCTCAAGTTGGATGGGTGGAGGCAGATTCAGCTCACTTGAAGCTGGTCCTCAGTTTCTTGGTGGAGGGGTGACTTAGAGAAAAAGGGTTACCCTGGTAGGGGCCTTTTGTCAGGAAATATCAGTAATTCAGCAAGTTTTTTTTTAGTATTTGTGTTGTTAATATTTATGTTTCCTCTGCTTCATCACCTTTTCCATTCACTCCTAGATGGAAGTGAAGGTCTCTTTGTCTTAGACTCCCATCATTGCACTGTCCACACCATTATTGTGTTGGTCAATTATTCACTCCTTTATCAGTCACCTGTTGAGTATGTTCAGCAAACCAGGCCAATGTCAGTTTCCCTTTTTTGTATTTTACTTATTTGTGTATATTAGGCTTCTACTGGAATAAGAGTTTTTAAATGTCCTAGTAGTCTTATGCTATAGCACAGAAACAATCCCAAGGGCTTACTACAATGAAAATTTATTTCTCACTATTTGCATGTCCTACATGGATTGGTGGGATGAACACTGTAAGGACTGCTCCATGCAGTCCCTCAGGGACCCAGGATAACAGACACTCCATCATGTCATAGCTGTATTGACTGGAACATGCGTCCTTCTTGATCGCTAGAGAGAAAGAAAAAGTACTGCAATTACGTGCTCACCCTGGAGGGGGTATCACTCCTGCTTGTAGCCTGTAAGCTAGAACTAGTCACATAGACCCACGTGAGCATAAGGGCCAGGGGTGAGGGGGAGAAACAGAGTCCTCCTGCTTAAAAAATGAAGAGGTCTGAAGAAGGGTGAGCACTAGAAGTCTCTACACATGCTTATTATGTTCTTGGTTCTTCCATTGACTTGAAGCAAAGTTGTCCCAGGAAGTCTTATTTTCTTCATTTGAAAGTGGTTGGAGTATAAATGATGACAAATGAGTAGATATTGCTAGTTGCCCAGTGTGGGAAAGACTAGTAATACATAGTTGAGGCATGTGAAGGTGTCTGTCTTTCCCCTTGTCCTAGTAATGCAGAGGTGGGTGGTTAGTGGTGGAGACAACACTCTGAAGAGATCCCAGAGCTCTGATCCAAGGCAAGGTTTGAACCCACCTCCTACCATTGACCAAGAACTAAGACTGTGGCTACTGGGGCCTCCCTTATGGCCTATGGGTTAAGTCTCAGCGCTATCACTGCTGCAGCCTGAGTTTGATCAGGGAGCTGACCCACATATGGCACAGCAGACCTCTCTTGTCTCACCTGCTGCTCCCCTCAGGAGTGTGTTTCAGTACATCCATCTGTTCTGTTCCCCACTTTGTCTCTGGTGAATCCTCTTACCCCCCTGCACCTCTAGTCTTCACCCCAGTTCTTCTATGCATAAATAAATAAATCTTAAAAAAAAAAAAAAAGACTAGCTGCCAAACCTTGCTAAGCACCACATCACCTGGCTTCCTTTGCTCTACAGGCCTGGGTGAAGACAATCTTAATTATGCCACAGTCAACATAATTTAAAAATATATTGCTTTAGAAGAAAAATATACACACAGGTTAATGGAATAAAAGAGAACCCAGAAATAAACCCATACTTACATGGACAGTAAATTTATGACAAAGAAGCCAAGAGTATATGTTGGGGAAAGGAAAGTCTCTTCAACAAAATGGACAGTTGGATGGGCCTCCCCGGTGGCACAGCGCTTGAGCTCTGGGTTGCGAAGCTGCCTGCAGCCTCTGCAGCACTGGTTCGATCCCCGGCTGCTCCCCGGCCACCGGAGGAGGGTCCCGCATGGCGCGCAGACCTCTCCTGCCGCCCGCTGCTCCCCTCAGCAGTGTACTTTGGTCCTTCTGCCTGCTCTGCTCCCCGCTCTGGCTCTGGTGAATTCTCTCACCCTCCCGCGCTTCTGACTGTACCCAGTGCTTGTATAATCTTGTAATAAGCTTGTAAATAAATCTTTAAAAATAAAAAAAAAAATCTATTAAAAAAACCCAAAAAAACAAAATGGACAGTCGGAAAAGTCCTCACTCTATCACACAGCTCTGCAGAGAAGTTGTGTGTCTGGGGCACACAAGTCGTGTGTCGGGCAGCCCTTTTATTTGCCATGTGGTTGTATCCTTTGAAAATGAAGAGAAATCAAGTCGAGTGAGACATGGGCTCTTCATGTAGTGGGTCTGGGGTCAGTGCCACCTCTGGTTCAGCATATAGGAACCGATGCTTCCTCTCTTTTTCCTCTTAATATAATACAGAATACTTAGGATAGTTTATATTTATTATTTTCAGAATACCACTAATAAATTCACATGGTTTTATATGAGCTGTATGACAACTTTAAAAAAAGAATTTCTGCAAAGTTTAAGGAAGATACTGCACTATTCACTTCAGTTTTCTTTAGAGGACTCAGTTTTGTTTTGTTTTTTTTAAAAGAGATTTATGTATTTATACATATAAGAACTGGGGTATAGGCCAGAGGTGTGGGTGGGTTGGTGAGAGGATTCACCTGAGACAGAGTGGGGAGCACAACAGGCAGACTGACTGAAATACACTGCTGAGGGGAGCAGCAGGTGAGACAGGAGAGGTCTGCTCTGCCATGTGGGTTGCTCCCTGGCCGGGGATTGAACTAGTGCTGCAGTGGCTGCCGATACCCTCACAGGTTGTATCTTAAACTCTTGCACCAGCAGGGAGGTTCAGAAGACTCAGTTTTTATAAAACAGAAAACTTGGAGATTTTTTGCCTCATAATGAAATGCCACAAAATGCTAGAAATATAATGTTACCTCCAGTACGATTATATCTTCCTTGTGAAGACTGCTTGTGCTTTGGACAGAACATAGATTAAATCCTGAGTACCTAGGAGACAGCAGTTGGCATTTGCTCTTCAGTTTGACAACTCAGGTTAGGTTTTATATACTCAGCACATCCTCATTAGTACATCGGCCCCCCGGTAACCGCTGAGAACAGAAGGAGCAGGCTCTGGCACCCCTGAAGGGGGAGCAGTTAAGCAGAAAGAGTGTATAAAATGTAGACCACAGAAGTGGCGTAAGACTGTCCTTTCCTTCTCTCCTCATCCCACCCCAGTCCGGTGATACTTCTAAAATGAACTTGTTAAAATGATTGCTTCAATTCAAGGAATAAAAATATTATCAGTAAGTACTGCAAACATGCAAGATATAGGTCCTAAGTTTGCAGAAAAACATAGGACATTGTTTTTTTCATGAAGGATGTATGTTCTTTCTATTTGAAAGCTGGGCTTTAGTTTTATTTCAGTAGAGATCTGTAAAATCATCCTATTCCATTGTCATATAATGATATACACTCATTAACTTTCCTGAGTGACCCTGCTTCCTCTTTTCTTTCAGCAACTTTGGGCTGGGTTTTTAATACAGGGGAACTGAAGAAGTTTGAAGCTAGAATCACGATCATCCTCTGATTTTTATTTATTTATTTATTTTAAGATTTTTATTTATTTATCCAAGCACTGGGTACAGTCAGAAGCACGGGAGAGTGAGAGAATTCACCAGAGCCAGTAGGGAGAGCAGAACAGGCAGACTGACTAAGTACACTGCTGAGGGGAGCAGCAGGCGCAGCAGGAGAGGTCTGCGCGTCACGTGGGACCCTTGCCTCGCGGCCGGGGATCGAACCGGTGCTGCAGAGGCTGCGGGTAGCTTTGCAACCCAGCGCTCAACCGCTGTACCACCAGGGGAGGCCCCCTCTGATTTTTAGAAACACTTTCTATTTTATAAGCAATGTGTGAATTCACAATTATAAACATTCAGACAGCTTGGTGCTCCTTTAGGGTCCCTGAGTAAAGAGAACCCCATCTTTCCTCTCCCAGCCTGGTGTGGATCCCCTCTCAAGGACATACCTAAATAATCTGTGCTTTCCTTTTCAACAGCTAGTGTAACATATTGTGTGTATTGTTCTGTAACTTCTTATCGTTGTTTTCTTTTGAGATGATGGGTGAGGATTTAATGTGATAACGCTCCAGCTCCCTCCTCACACCCAGTGTCTTAGTCCTCACTCCATAGCAGGCTTGAGATGTGCGCATATTCCCAGGCCATTCAATGTCGTTCTCTGGGCCTTTTCACCTGGTTTGCCAAAGGACAAATCAGCCAGCTATTCAGCAGCCTTCCGAGTGGGTGTCAGCTTCAGAAATCGCCCCCTAATTTCCGACTCTGGTTTTGCTTGTGAAACATCTCGATGTAGCCAGGTACTTGGGCAACCCGCACCTTCTCATTTCACCAAGCTATAAACCGAAGACCTAAAAATAGGTGTGATAAACAGATTAGGGCAATTTATTGCTGAGCTCCGCTCCCTGCTTCACCAGCAGCCAAGACACTGGCCCGCAGACGACGCCCTGGGACTCAGACACTGGGGTGAGGCACGGGGGGCACAGAGCTTTGTCTTTCTCCTTGTTGGGGAGGGGAGGGCTCCTCTGTGGGGCACCTGCCTCCTATTTCCCTTCTATCTATGCCTTTTCTCTGCCTTTGGTTAACTTTTTTTTTGGGGGGGGATTCTGTCGTTTGGATCAATAATGACTGATTCTTTTGATGAGCGTTTCCTCTGTGGGCACTTCCTGCCTCTTAGTTGTTCTTAGTGTGTAATTATTGTTGTTAGGCCAGACAGCGTGAGATGATTAATAGAAACATGTCTCAAGCATAATAGCAGACATTTAAAAAATTAAAATTTAAAACCACAAGTAATAGATGAATGCATTCTACTGTAAAATATTATAACTTCACATATAAAGCTTATGGCTCTTTTCCACCACCTCCATCTCAACTGCTGACCCACAATCAATCACAACGATCAGTTTTTGCCTTCCCTTTGCACCCCAGGGAGCCCTGGAGCACAGAGTAATAACAGTAATCCCACCTGGATTTCTGTGGACATATGAGCCCCAGAACCAGGCAGGTGCCAGGGTTCACATAGCAAGAGCATCTCATCATCCTCCCAGGGGGTTAGTAAGAGGTGGGCACCTACGATTGATGACAACTCCATTGAGACATGTATGTCACATTCATAATTTTCACCTATTTTATGTTTGTCCTTCAGTGTGTATTTATTTTTGTATATTCACAGAGTTGCGCCTACATCACTGCCCTCTCTCCTTCCAGAACATTTTCATGCCCCCCAAGTATCCATGGGCTATCACCCCTGTCCCTGTGTGTTGCCAGTTCCCTCGGGCTGCGCAGGGAGGCCACTCTGGGCCGGCAGCTGTGGGATCAAGGGCTGTCAGCCCATCTTCACTTTGCTAGAGGAGAGGTCTAAAGGTGTTTCCCGAGGCCTTACCTTTTTCATCCGCTGCTCTGCAAGCTTTCTAAATCAGGGTTCCCTCCTTTCTCTGTTCTGATTCTGGGGCAGAGGAGGGGCCCTGGATCATGGAATCACTGACTCACTTCACAGTTGTGAGTGGCGAGCAGGGTCACTCGTTCGGTTGTTTGTTGAATCTTGCTTGGGTGTCTCCTCCCAAATGGCCCGGCAAGGTTCCCCAGCTTCTCCTGTACTCACTGACTCTGTTGCCCTGCAGGCAGCCTGGAACTTCCAGACCTAAAGAGGGTACATTCTTTCTTTGTAGCCAGAGCAGATATTTTTGCTGCAGATGAATCATATGAGTGAGAACAGCAGGCAAGGAAGACAGGATCACCATTATCACCCCAAAGCATTTATCAAGCACCTACTGCGCGTGCGGCCGGCTTACTGTGGTGATGCGGGCACCCCCTACTCCCAACCCCCCAGCATCAGGCTTCCGACCCTGATTGAGCTCCTGACATGTTGTCTGTGAAGTCCAGTCTCTGTCCCCAGGAAGACTGAAGTGTTTGGGCTGGAGACCATGGTGGACAAGGAAACAGTCGCCACGCTGCTCACACAGCGACGGGCACCCCTGTGGGCAGTTGCTACCCCTCCCTTCTGCCCAGCGGGATAATCATTCTTCCCTTCCTAGCGCATGGGGACATCTTGAGAGAATCTGAGACCGAGAATGTCCCAGCCCAAATGTGCTAGTAGCTCTCATGTTTGGGGGTCAGAGATCCCTTTAAGGAGCTGATGAAAGCTTTGGACTTTCACCTCAGAAAAATGGCTCTGGAGCCCATGCCCGTGTGGTTTGCAAACAGTGTCAATTTCATGGTTTTTATGGACACCCTGAGACTGTCCATGGACCCCTGTGGAGCTGTAAGTTGATGGCACCTGTTTCAGAGCTTATCCTCTGAGCGGTGTTTAAAAAAATCCCAGCTGGTAATCCACCTTACTATTACTAAGAATACCATTTCTCAGTTTTTTCTACTTTAAAAGTCCTTTCTTAAAACGATCATTTGCTAAATGTCCCCAATAGCAACGTTTATTTAGATTCTTGAACCCCAAGGACAAAGCAAAAGGAAGGTAATCTGATTGACTAGATTTTTTTCTTCTGCTTTTGTATACACGTGTAAAGTAAAACAGAAAGCAATGCATAGAAGCAAATGTAGTAAACACTTACGATCCAAATCTGGATTTTAGGTACGACGATTCTTTCTTGGCTGTGTTTTTTGGGGGCTGCAGAAACCATGGAGCTGTTTGAGGGGACAGTGTTAAATCTGCTGCTGCCGTAAAATTAATTTGATGGCACGTAGCTGGGTGGCGTTTGTGTCGGAGGCAGAGGGCACTGGCCAGGCTTCCTGAGACGTGGAGGCAGGATTGACAGGCACAGCTTGGTCTGTGCTGGGTGGGGCGGGTGGGGGGGGTATTCTGCTGTGTGTGCAGCCTCCTTCCTGCCCCTCCCCGGGCGGGTAGGCGGAGGCTGGTGTTTGAGACAGACACCATCCTGCCTGGGGTGTGTTTTTGGCCACCAGATGTGTTTTTGGCCACCCCTTCTGCCCCCTCCTGCCTGAGTCCTCTCTCTGCCCACCCCCTTGCTGCTCCTCTGATATAGCCCTAGGTCCGCCCCTTGATGGAATGTCCTGTCCTGGGGGCATTGCATCACCACTGCCTGGGCTCCCTGGGTTGCTTGGCTGCTGTGGTGTCTGTTCTAGGTGGCCTGTCTGCACGTTGGGTAGTTAAGGTCACGATACCATCCAGCATCTCTACAAGTGTGTTTTTTTTTTTGTATTTTACCTGCTAAAGCACTTTCTAAGCTTTCCCTTTATCTTCCCATCACATGGGCTGCTGGTCAAAGCAGCAGGACAGAGTGAGGCCCTCTGCACCTTCTGCAGCTCTGGGGGCAGCCTGAGATGGGATCTAGTGGAGGGCGGCAGGGCCGCTGGGGATGGCATCACTGATGCTGCTGTTTAGAGATCAACCTTAGAGGGACCCCCTGCCCCCAACTGGTTCTGGGATCGTGGGCAAGAAAATGTTGGCCTAAACTACTTAGTCTCCTGGACTTTGAGGTGGGAATGGTAACACCTACTTCCTTGAAGTTATGTGGGGATTAAATGACATTGCAGAGGGTCCATAAAATTTGGGGGGGGGTACCTGAGATCTCCTACTCTTCTGACACCAATTAGAAGCTTGGGGGACCCCATGACCACATGATGGTGTGATAAATGAAACTATAAAAAGATTGATAGAACTTGCCAGAAGCTGTCATAATCATGGTTCTGGTGAGAAGCTACAGAAGAGTCCCTGCAGAGACCTGGCTGTCCTCACATTTCCCGGGAACACGTGTGAGTGTCTCCAACCTGAAAGCTCACCTGGGCCTTGACTCCAGTTTTCCTGGGGTTCAGTCATGTGGACATGTTGACTACCCAGGTGGCTGACCTTAGTCTCCAGTCCTTCTGGAGGTCAAGTTGATACCACATGGCCCAGAGTCCGCACCATAAACCACATTGCTGGCCTGTCAGGTGTGACCTAAACCCGATAGACAGGACAGTCTATCAGACAGGACAGTCCAGGCACTTAGCGGTCACCTCCTGGAGCCAAGGGGACAGCAAAGGCCAGACCTCTTATTAGGTAGTTGATTCTTTGCCACCCTGGGACCGTGCCTGGCACACAGTAGACCTCAGGACTTGCTGTCAGCACACATTTTTATGTCCCAAGGTCAAGGCAGGGAGTGGTTTAGATTTTCTTTCTTTCTTCTCTTTAATTACATCTGTAGTCTTGGGAGGGTGTCACACACCTTGCACATTTGGAATTAATATCAGGGCGTGGTTTTGCCAAATAATAATACCTCTTGTTTATGTGGTGCTTTAAACCTATCAGGCTCACCTATGCTCATTTGATCTCCACAACAACCTGATGTGATGGGCAGATAGGTGTCTTTATCCCAGTGTTACAGGTGAGACAGTGACGTCACAGGAGGCTCGCTGATGACAGACCACAGGCACAGAGGTGGCAGTCCTGGGTGTCTTCCTCTGCCAACCCCTGAGCCCTGCTGCTCTGCTTTATGTGCACAGCCTTGAACCAAATGGGTCTTGGGCAGATCTGATCCCTGCCACGTGCCGACTGCGCGGCCATGGACCTTCCCTGCTCCCTGGTCCAAAGGGACTATTGTGGGCATCACGTGAGACCCAGCAGGTAAGGGCAGACTGTAACACTGGTAGCTGCTGTGGAACATTAGCCTGAACAGTGATACCTGCTCACCGCCATCCCTGCTGCTGCAACAGTGGCAGTTATGACTTGTTATGCATTTTGCTAGATGTGTGAGAAATTGTGCATGAAAAGAGGTCTTGAATACAGAGAAGGCAGTTGGTGGCACAGACACTCATCCTTAGATAATTGCCAGGTAATTAACTAATGCATAAACAATATTTGTTTCTTCCAAACCTCCTGCCTGGTCCAGGGTGTCTCTGCTGTCAGTTCCTGGCATGTGGGCCTCTCCTCTCACCCAGGAGACCCCTCCTTCACAGCTCAGCTGCTCCCTGGTCTGAGTGAGACTCAGCCCGCCCCACCCCCCCAACCCCTCATGTACTCTTCCCTCTGAAGCATTTATCCTGCCAGCTTCACAGTGACTTGATAATTTGATCAACATCTATCTCTGCTGCTCGGCCGGGAGCCCCTGAAGGCAGAGCTGGGGGCTTGCAGGTGCTACACACTCACGACAGCCTGCTGGGGTCTCTTGGAGGCTCCGGGACTTGATTCCGGCCACCCCCTCCCTGGCGGGCATGGAGAGCGCTGGCTTCGAGCCCTGGCCCAAGTGCTCCCACTCCACGGGACGGTGAAATGCTCGACGTGGGGAGCCTTAGCATCTTGTTCTTTCCTTTTCAAGACTAGTCCCAAGAGCCAGGTGACGGTCTGTACTGGCTGTCAGCTGTGCCTGCTTCCTGGGAGGAGCTGCTGGGCAGAGGACAGCAGCCAGGTGCTTGCCTGTAGCCTGTCTGACGGGGTTTCCCAGTCTGGGCTTCTCCCCATGCGCATGAACACGGCAGCGCCCAGGCCCAGCCTCTGTGGCAAGGATTTAGGGACATCCAGATTGAAGGCCCTCAATTTTAATCTTGTTAATCCTGGCTTATCCCTGCACCCCGTCCCCTCACTGGGCGTCGAGCTCTAGAACACCCCACACTCTGCAAGTCTCGGCAGAAGCTGACACAGCTCTGTCCTAGGGCGCGCCTCCAGCCCCGCCGGGGGGCAGTGTGTGTGGGCGCAGGCTCAGGAGTCATTCCCCAAGGTGTTTTTCTTTCCCAAACTCCAGTTTTTCCATCTAAGGCCCAGGGCCCTCTGGGCTGCGTGTGAGTTACTGACACTGAGGTTCGTCTTTGTGGCTCACTGACACCCTGTTGGATTCCAGAGCAGAAAGTCTGCCGGCCCCTTGCTGTTCTTGCCCTGGAAGATGAGACAGTGTCAAGGGCGAGAGTCTGTCTTCTGCATGTGGGACCTTGCTGGAAACACCGACTGTCTTGGAATCATCAGTCCTCGCCCTCCCTCCATTCCTAGCACTTTCTTTCCCCTCTCAGCACCCAGAAAACTCAAGAAACCTTCCCAGGGAACAGATCTGGCCGGAAAGCAGTAACGACCGGTCTCTGGGCCGCTGTCATCAGGACAACCTACCAGGCTCAGGATCTGCTCTCGCCAGCTCTCCTCATGGCATCTGCTCTCACGGCAGCGGGACGGTGCCCCTTGCAGCTGGACATCTTGCTTCTGTCAGAAGCTTTTCTCTCTTCCCTTCTCGTCTACATCTCAGCGTCATCACCAGTGGGAAGCACAGCAAGGGGGACGCTGGTAAGGCCCCGCGTGATGCTGCGCCACTGACGAGCGTTGGGAATGGTCTTCTCTGCTACTTGCTCGAAGTCATTCTAGGGTCTTCTTTCCACCCTCTCGCCCCAGAGCCGGTCCACGCTGGCTCACTTTTGTGCCTTCCTGCCCCCACCCTTACATTCTAAGGCAGCAGCAGTGAACCCCTCTCACCCTCACCCCTTGCGGGGGATGCTCCCTGCGCAGGGATGAGCAGAACTCTGAGGTGAAACCACAAGGCACAGAGCCAGGTGTGTGGCTGAGAGGCGTGTCCAGGCGGCTTCCAGATACCCTCTGAGGCAGGGGTCCTTTGGGGGAGGCCGCCTCTGGATAGCTGCACTCTGCACACACAGAGGGGGCAGTGTCGTGCCTGGTGGGCTCTGTGAACAGAGTGGCCTTGGAGGGCTGGCTCCTCGGTGCGCCCTTTCACCATGACTCAGGAAGGCACCCGTCAGGATCCCTGAGGCTCTTGTGTGTAGTTTCCGGTTAACCTGAGAAACGCTGGCTTCTCGCTGGCCACACATTCCCAGACCTCCATGACTCAGCCCTTTCTGGCCACCTGATGCCTGTGACTTTGCAGAAAGCTCAAGAACCACTTGCTCTGCTTCTTGCGCTCTTGCTGTAAAGGTTATCGCCTCTGGGCCTCCCCGGTGGCGCAGCGGTTGAGCGCTGGGTTGCGAAGCTGCCCACAGTCTCTGCAGCGCCAGTTCGATCTCCGGCCACCGGCAAGGGTCCCACATGGCACGCAGACCTCTCCTGACGCGCCCACTGCTCCCCTCAGCAGTGTATTTCGTCAGTCTGCCTGCTCTGCTCCCCGCTCTGTCTCTGGTGAATCCTCTCACCCTCCCGCGGTTCTGACTGTACCCAGTGCTTGTATAAATAAATAAATAAATCTTAAAAAAAAAAAAATAAAGATTATTGCCTCTAAAGCAAGGCAGTGGACATGCTTTATCCCCAGAGGTTCAGTTTGCCCTTTGGGAGTGCTTTCTCAAAAGAAGGGTGTTTCTGGTGAATTCAACTCCCCAACTTGTGAGTGATGTCTGTTCCTTGCTTGCTTTTCAGTGTACCCAAGATTGTAATTTTTTAAAAAAGATTTATTTATTTTTATACGAGAACTGGGGTACAGGCCAGATGGGCGGGAGGGTGAGAAGATTCACCAGAGACAGAGCGGGGAACAGAACAGGCAGAATGATGAAATACACTGCTGAGGGGAGCAGCGGGCGAGGCAGGAGAGGTCTGTCATACCATGTGGATTTCTCCCTGGCAGGCCGGGAATCGAATCCGCTGCAGAGGCTGCAGACAGCTTCACAGTGCGGTGCTCAACCGCCTGAGCCACCAGGGGAGGCCCTGTTTTAAATTTTTTGAGGACTCTGATGAGGTGATCATTTTCTTTGTTCGCTGAAGGTCCGCATTCTGTCTCGATTCATTGAAATTTGGGTGAACACTCAGACCTCACTTGTCTACCCCACTGGAAAGTCAATGGAAACATGGCATCAGGCAGACGTCATGCTTAATGGTCACTATCCTCATGGCTTGGTGAGAGGGAAGTGTGATGACCACACCTGACCATCTGCTGAGCTCTGACTCTGGGCTAAGCAAGTCTTTCTATGGTACTTCTTTCACCTCTGCGGGGGGCCCTGTGAGCAAGGGTTACTCTGTGTGCATTACAGACGAGGAAACCGAGTGGGCTCTCTGCCCAGCCACACATGGCGAGTGAGTGGCTGAGCCAGTATTTTAGCCAACCTCCCTGGCTTGAGAGGTGTGATCTTAACTAGCCCCCTTGAATATAATACAGCGTCCAGATACCTGAGACCAGGAGGGATAGTGGTTTGGGTTCTTTCACTGACTGACCAAATATAAAACATTTCATAGATTTATTATATGTTTTTTTGGGGGGTATCTAATTGCGTCATATCCTTCTAACCCCTGATCAGAGCTGACTTGCTCTTAGAATCATCCCCAATAATCACTTGACTTAAGCCTTTGTTATGATGCTATAAGCTGTGTATCTATGTTATTATTTGACTCATAACACTTTGGGCAAAATTAAAGTTTTTGTCTTCCATATGTATATTTTTCCAATGAATAATTAAGGTAAATTTATTTTTTGAGAAAATTGCATGTATGTGAAAAATACAAGCATTGCAAAGGTGTCTATAGTCATTGGTAAATCCCCCTTCTTCCTGAGAATGGCTTCACTTTTCTTGTTTCTCTTCTTCAGTTTCTTGAGTCTCTACCCAGAGATATTCTTTGCTTATACAGACACATATCTGCACCTGGGTCTTTTTTATGTGCAAATGAGCTGTGTCAGAAAACAGGGAAGGCCACGGTGGGTGCCAGTGACCATGTGTGCTGGGAGCGCAGAAAAGCCCCAGCTACGTTGCATGCTTTGCTCCAGCTGCTCAAGCACCTTCTTGGCCTGTTGAAAGCCAGCACCATGTAACGAAGGAGCTGTCTTTCCAGCAAGCTCTTCACTAAAATGCAGCACTCCCACCAGAGCAGTAAGTGAGCCGCTTGCTGCATTTTCACACGGTGAACATAGCCTTAA